TCTATCTCTATCTCTATCTCTATCTCTATCTCTATCTCTATCTATCTATATAAATAAGTAAATAATATGCAAATTAGCCGGGACACCGTAACAGTCACAACTGGTCAGGAGAAGGCTGCGCGCACAGGTGAGGCCCAGAGCGGAGACAGAGACAGAGATGGGGGGCCTGCCCAAGCCGCCCCGGCCGAGAGAAGGCCCAGAGAGGAGAGGGCGGGACCGCCTGCAGCCACTGCGGCCGAGGGAAGGCCTGGAGAGGAGAGGGCCTGCCAGCCACGGAGCACCAGCAGTCCTGCCTCTGCATGTGAGCTGCAGAGGAAACACCTTTTCTGACCACTCACTGGCTAAGCTCCCTGTATGCCACTTACAGTTTTCTTGGTAACTTGGGTAATAAGAATCCAAGAAGGTAATCTAGGGTTTTTCCACCTCACTCCTGGAGGAAAAAATGAATGTCTGCTGCTGGAGGGGTTAAGAAATGTCATATCCTGTCCTAGCTGGTTTGGCTCAGTGGATAGAGCCTTGGCCTGCCGTCTGCAGGGTCTGGGTTTGATTCTGGTCAAGGGCATGTTCCTAGGTTGCAGGTTCCTCCCTGGCTGGGGCCCAGGTCAGGGCTCATGCAGGAGGCAACCAATCAAAGTGTCCCTCTCACATTGATATTTCTCTCTGTCTTTCCCTCTCTCTTCCATGCTCTCTTAAAATCAATGGAAAAACATCCTCAAGTGAGGATAAAGAAAAAGAAAGAAATGTCATATCCTATGAAAGAGACATCTTGAAATGCCTAAAGAAAGTTGTCATTTTTTCGTGGTGAAAGGACTGGAGTCCATGTTGATGAAAACACCTTGGCAGCTGTGGCAGCCGGCAGTGGCAGCAGCAGCAGCAGGGTGATGAGGGCAGCGCCTTCCCCTGATCAGCCATGTTGCCTCCTGCAGAGGGAGGCCAGACTGCAGCTTAGCTCACCGGGGAGTGGGCCTAAGCTGTCAGTAGGACATCCCCTGAGGGCTCCAGGACTGTGAGAGGGGGCAGGCTGGGCTGAGGGATTCCCCCTCCAGTGCATGAATTTTGTGCACTGGGCCTCTAGTGTGTATATATATATTTATTGATTACAAAGAGGAAGGGAGAGGGAGAGAGATAGAAACATCAATGATGAGAAAGAATCATTGATTGGCTACTTCCTGCACGCCCCCTGCTGGGGATTGAGCCCACAATCAGAGCACGTGCCCTGACCTGGAATCAAACCGTGACCTCTTGGTTCATAGGTTGACACTCAACAACTGAACCACATCAGCTGGGCATGCAAGCATATCTTTCATATTCAAACCAACCAATCCATAATCCATACATACAACCACCTCTTTTATTAGGTTCTCACAGTGCTCTTACACTCCACACAATTATTATCCTGCCCTAATTACCTCAGGGCCAGGTAACAGACAACTAGAAACAGCCCCTATTCCCCAGAGCCCAAACTAGCTAACCCGAAACCTCCTTACCCTACCTCGTTAGTTCCTTCTGCAGAAACCACTGTAAAGGCTCTTGCCCATGTTTTCCCCTCATTCCCCCTGACTCTTGACGGGCCCTGGTGCTGCCCTGGTGGCCCTACATGGTGTGCTGTGCCATTTCACCTGATTCTAGGGATCTGTGTGAATGTTTTCCTTCATGACAATTATTTTCTGTCTGTGTGTCTTATCACACCTGGTAAAAACAAATCCCAGGTACATTTTTAAACACTGTTACATGCTGGATTTTCAATAAATGTCTGCTGAGTAAATAAGTTAATTAATTAGTTTACTGTGGGTTAGAATATGAAAACTGCCACCCTAATTAGCCTGCCAGTTCACCTAGCTCTATATTCTGATATCAGCGAATCCATCATAGAAGAATTCAATTGTCTTTCTTGACATCAATAGCTAAGCCACATCTTCAAACCAAACAAAAATCTCCTTAGAAAAAAGACAAAGGAATTTCATGCTGTTCCCCATCTTCCCTGAATATAAAATGAAAAAAGAAGGGGGCAAGTTTCTGTTGCAGTGAGAGAGTTAGTTTGCTCCCCTTCACTCCTACCATCTTTAAATCTAACCCTTAAATTTAGAAATAGTGAGGAAAGTCCATAAATTAAGACAAGGTTACCACTGAGACAGTAGCCAATGAAAGCCCTGTCTAGGAGATGGCAGGAGAATGCCCTTCCATCATTTCTGTATGAGCAGCGTGGATGCATAAGAATGTTGCTGCAGGCCATCTGTAAAAACTTTTGGCTCATTTAAGCAAATGTGCAAAGAGACCATGTCCCTCATTTCCAGTTAAGCCTGGTCACTGAAGCAGTTATGAGTCTTTATGTTACAAGTGCCAGAAAAACCTATCTCAAAATGGATTAAACAATCACAACTCATTTGTACACAAAAGATAAGTCTGGAGGTAGACTGGTGCCCTTGTAAGGTTAAAAACAACTAAATCAGAAAAAGTCTTCAAAAAAAAAAAAACCATACATGCAATAAGGTAACCATATAAAAAAGGGAGAAAAAAAGGAAAGTATGAACACAGGATTCAAGTCAAGGGTTAAATGAGGCCAGGGAAGGCCAGGGTTACGAGAGGTCAGGGAAGGTTATATGAGATGGGGAGGAAGCCATGTGGTTAAGATTGGGGTTTTGTTTTACATGAGTTTTAGGATGTTTGTTACATTATGGAAAACATAATAAACACAAGTAAGCACACTGAGTTGGAAGCAGAGCTAGAACTAGAATAAAAATTTTCTGAACCTCGTCCAGAGTTCTAGGTTCAGAAAAGAGAACTTGTGCAAAAGAGAAAAGCTGTTGTCAGCAGGGGTCTGGGCTCCTGGTCCAATAGCTCCTCCTCTTTTGCAACAGGGAGAAAGTGCAGGGTGACTTTGTAATATTCTGTACTCAGGTAGGCACAACACAGGGCCTTGTTGTGTGCTAAGAGAGGATTCAAGCTAAAGAATTTCAGATAAGATAAATACGTATATAGTATTTTTCTCTCTTTTTCTTTAGTCCTCACTGAGGATATGTTTTAAATTGATTTTGAGAGAGAGAAGAAAGGGTAGAGAGAGAAACACGGGTTGGTTATGTCCCATACATGCCCAGACCAGCGACTGAACCACAACCTAGGTATGTGCCCTGACCGGGATCAAACCCACAACCTGTTGGTATATGGGACGTCACTCCAACCAACTGAGCCACCCAGTCAGGGCTCTCTCTTTTTTGTAGAGAACAAATTGAAAGAATAGCCATTCCTAAATATAATAGATTGATGGAATAAAATCAACAAACCCAAAACAGATATTATTTAGTGAGGTCCCCCTTTTATTGTAAACTGAAAATTTGCAAATGCTGAATAATTCATTTTCACATCAATAGGCAACACAATTTAGTAATAGGAGAGCTATCTGATTAAGAAGCTACATCTTAGGTCACAACCCATAACACATAAGTCTGACTCTTCTTTTATAAAATTAATCTCAAATGGATAGGATCTTGAAATGATATATATGTGAGGCTTACATGCATGAGAACAAAATAAAGCATTTCAATATTTTCACACTCTTTGTTCAATTATTGGGGATGGGTGAATGCAGGGGTAAAAACTAAGTGTGAGCCTTATAGGATTTTTTTTCTACTTCAGACCATGTTTAAAATTTTTTCCTAATGATTATTCAGTATCTGACGAAAGCCATGATTCCTCAGGCAAAGTAAAGTGGAGCTCAATAATTTTTTGTGGATTTGATAAATACAAAAAACTAAAGTAAATTATATGAAGAAAAAGAACTCTCAGAAACAGCTTTTTGATAGTCTGCTTTCCCCCTCCTCCCTCAATACCCCCCTCACCACACACAAGCCATCAGTTTATTCTTGAGCAAAAAAGTTGTCTTGGATTTCCATTTTACTCTTTTTCTGCATATGTAAGACTTTTTAAAAAAGTTTGCTAATAGTGTGCTGAGTTGACATGGTGTGGAACTTAAATATTTACCAGTATACTAAACTATCAAGCATTACAAAAGTCAGAACACTCTTGTTTTTGTTTTGATCATGGTCAGCTTATGACAGAGACAAAAGCCAGTGTGATGGCTGTGTCTGGCCTGCCTCATCAAGTTTTCTCAAATGTCCTAGAAGTTATTAGACAACCACCCTATTGATCTGCTTCATTCTGGCCAGGTAGACTCGGCTATGTATTGCTAATGTCATAGTGATTCTCTCCTGGTCAAGGAACTTGAAGTCTAGGCTGGACGTATGAATATTAATCAGTACAAAAGAAAGTTGTTGAACAAAGATAATATGATTCATGATTTGGAGTGTAACTAATCTGACAGTAGAGCGTAGTACGGACAGCAGTAGGTACACAGTGAGAATAACGGAGTCCTGAGTTTGGAAAGTCTAGAGAAATAGGTTAGGAGATAAGGAACAGGAAATAATGAGTGCACTATTAAAGATGTTGAATTTAAGTTATTAACAGGACATCCAAGTTCAGCATATAATGGGAAATGCAGAACTGTTACTCTGGAAGGTAACATTACAACTTAACTACGGTGATAGCAAGTCATGGAAAGTGACCACTGAGGCTGTGAAAAACAACAGATAGGTCTGAAGGGTGAATACCCAATCTCAGTCCCTCAGCAAATTATAACAATTGCACAGGTACCAGCAGAAAATCCTCCCCTAACAGACTTAGGGACCTTATCATCAAGACTTCTTCACAAGCAACACACACACACACACACACACACACACACACACGCACGCATGCACGCACACACGCACGCACACACACACAGAGACTCACTCACTCCAGGGTCCTCCAGGCTTTAAGGAAAGGAGAAATGTCTTGGTTATAAAATGTTTGTGCAGGGCAGGACTTTTTCTCTATTCTCTTAGGTCCTGTGGCTGGGCCTGAGAATTAAACTGACAAAAGACGGATTAAAGGGGGGAAAGCATACACATTTTATTTGATGTTACTATTTCTATGTGTACACAGAGGCCTCCATATGAAAGACATAAATATGAAAAGAAGTGGATAGGCCTGAGAGCTTATACACACGCCACTGTAACAAAGAGTGAGAAATTGTGGAGGCCTGATGAGACAAAGAAAAAGGGGTTGGGTGAAGGGCAGTACACTGTGGGAAAGTGACTAGGAAGTAAATGAGGGAAACTAATGGAAGATAAGGATTATTTTTCGGTACAGATTCATCTCAGCATTGATTCCCTGTCTTGGGTGATAAGAATGTTCTCTTTCTGCTACAGGGAGGGCACCTTTATCCCAGGAAATTTATGCCTTGTTCTTATGTATAAAGGAGGGCAGAGAACCCTTCCTACAGCTGCTGCTTCTCAAGTGCCTTCAGCTCAAAATAATCCATATGCCAAAGTGCCATATTGTGGGGTGGCATGTGCTGTAACATCTTGCCAAACTAGAACTATACAAAGCACTTTGGGAAATAAGAAAATGAAATAGAAATTCACCTCTCAGTGATCATTTTTCCAAATAAGGGAAGTTAGATATACATATAAGTAATGAATATTAATAAGCATAAGATAGGGTAGAAAGTCATAAGACAGGACACAAAATGCTATTCCAGATGGGGGTGGGGACTGGGGCGACAGCAGCAAGTCTTGGGTACTTAGAAAGGCTCCATAAAGGACAAGACAACTAAACTAGTCATTGAAGCGTGGTAGGATTTGGAATCCTATATAATAAAACCCTAATATGCAAATTGATCAAACTGCAGAACAACTGGTCGCTATGATGTGCACTGCCCACCAAGGGGCAGACACTCAATGCAGGATGGCCCCGCCAGTCACCCCACAGATCAGCCCTGATCGCTGGCCAGGCCTAGGGACCCTTCCCATGCATGAATTTCATGCACCGAGCCTCTAGTATAGAGATAAAGTAGACAGCTATCACCAACAAAAAGAGCAATGCTATAGTTGGGAAAATACAGATTGTAGGTAAGAGAAAGCAAGTATTCAGTTGATCCAAGGGCAGGATTTATTGAAGCGAATAGAGGATCTTAAGGTTGGAAATGTTGGCTAAGGTCTCAAAGGTAATATCTTAAGGATTTGGATTTGATTCAGAAGCCAGGAGACTCTGAAGGTTCAGTGGGTAGGAGGAGGCATGGTATGATCATAGCTATATTTCAGGAAGGCAAAATGGAACACTATGTAAGATGTAAGGAGGAAGAGAGCCTGGAGGTGAGCAGAAATGATGCTCTGTCATATTAGGATGCAGGGTTCTATGTCCTAATAAAGTATCAATGTCCACATTTCATAATGCAATTAGCACCATTTAGAATGGTGATGCTCTCACTATGCTAAGTAAAAGATGTCAGTCACAAAAAGGTCACATATGGTATGATACCACTTATATGATATATCCAGAATAGGCAAATCCACAGAGATAGAAAGTAGATGAATTGTTGTCAGGGGCTGAAGGAGGAGGATGAAGAGTGACAGCTAAAGTACATGGGGTTTCTTTCTGCAGTGTTGAAAATGTTATAAAATGATTGTGACAGTAGTTGCACAACTTTGTGCATATAAAGAACACCAAATTATATGCTTCAAAAGGATGAATTTCATGGCATATGAATTATATCTCAGTAGAGTTGTTATTGAATAAATAAATAAATAAATAAATAAATAAAATGGTGATACTCTTGAACTAAATTGAGGGGCCATTTTCTCTGTCTCCTTATGGATTTTAGCCTGAGGGCATTTTGTAAAAGTTAAGTTACTTTTGAAAATAAAGAATCTTCATGGAATAACTCTGCTAAAACAGGGCACCATGGAAGATCACACAGGGCAGTGTCAACTGCTATCAAAAGTACAGATAACAATTTTTGATCCTTCAGAGATTCCCTTGATCCAATGTCCCAATTGAGGTGATGTGGGTTCATTTTTAGTTTTACTGTTCTGTTCATAAGAATGATAGCTAAGAGAGAAAAACTGATCTTCATTCAATACCACAATCAATCATAGATGATGCTAACTGGATAAGTATTTGGTTTTATCTAACTACTTTTTTGAGGTCAAAGTCTGGAGTTACATTAGGCAACAAGCCTAAGACTTTTAAGAGGATTCCTATGTTGGCTGTAGAAACTTTCAAGTTTATTAGACCTGATGTATCCTTGATATATTTACAGCTAATAGAGAAAAATTAGACTTTGGGGCTATCCAGTGTCCTTCACACTGGCATTCTTCAGTCATAAAATCATGGACCTGTGTTCTTTGTCCTTCATGGCACTTGTAATCAAATAGAAAGAGAAGTATTAACCACATAAAAACATACACATAAGTATATTTTTACTAATCACAGCAAGTTTTCGATAGGTAAGTATTAATTTACAATACCATGAGAGAGATTCAGGGGATGGATGGCAGTAGGGGATCAGAGAAAGCGTTTCAGAGGAAGCAGTATTTAAACTGAAGTAGAGTTAGCCAGGAAAAGAGGACCAGCATTTCACAGGAAGACAGAATCTCAAGTCAGGTCAATTGTAATAACTACACTGAAATTACATAATCCTAACATACATTTCATTGGACCTAGAAGTATAACATAAAAATATTACAGATCAGCCCT